AACCCCAAACCCTAAAACCCCAGACCCTAGACCCTAAACCCTAAACCTTTTTTCCCAAGGGTCGGCCAAAGTTGGGCGGTTCTGAGCGGAAAGTCGCCTCTGTCGCTTTACTTTCTCCCTTGGAAATGCTGGCCTCAGCGGCCCCTGTGCCAGAGTCGTATCCCGCCAAGAAAACCTTTTAAAGTCTGCGCCATCGCACAGCCAGGTTTTGACCTCCGTTGGGCCAGGATGAGATCTCTATGTCTTTGCAGTTTGCCTCCCGTTGCTGGCATCTGGCACTAGAACTTCAATGTTCAACGGTGTCCCAAACCCACAATACTCAATGACTCGGATATGCTGCTAAGCCACATCGGACCTGAAGATTGAGCCTTACACAGTTACAGTTGTTGTGAACCCAGCACTTTCAAACTTTCCATCGCCGTACTCAGCATTCCACGCCGCTGACCATGGAACAAATCTCATTGAGTTTGCTCGCTGTGAGTGCGCTGACGGCGGGGGCAGGGCCCGCCGTCACAGGTAACCGCAGCCGGAGCTCTCGGCGCGGGGGGCTTGGCGGCTTGGGGCAAAAGCCAGGAGCAGGTCGAAACTGTGAAGCCGCATGTGCCCGGAGCGGGTGCTCCGCATCCTGTCCCCAGAGCTGGAGCTGCGCAAGCAGCGCTGGACTTCCTGCCCGGGCACAGGCGGGATGTACAAGCAGCTTTGCTCCCAGCCCACTGGGAACTCGACCGGAAGCTGGGCCAAGGCGCAAGTGGCTGCGTGTATGCGGTTCGCTTTGGCGCAAGGCAATATGGGGTGAAACGGATTGAACCGCCAAGTGATAAAGCCGCCGAGCTCCGTCGAATGCTTCGCGAGATCCGTTTACTCAAACAGCTGCAGCGCGAGTGCATCGTCAATTTTTTTGGTGTTTTCACAACAGGCAGTGATTGGCATCTCAAAAAGGTGCACATCATCCTTGAGTGCATGGACACAGACCTAGGTGCCCTGATGAAAAGAACAGCTCTCAGCAACCACCACGTCCACTGGTTTGTATACCAGCTTCTTCGGACAGTTCGGTACCTACATCACGCTAACGGCATTCACAGAGACCTGGAAACCCCAGGACATCTTGGTCAGCAAGGATTGCGAGCTAAAACTGTGTGATTTCTCTCGGTTTGGCAAGGAACGTCGCTACACCTGACTTTGGACCTGCGCCTGCTTATGCAGAGCATGTTGATGCTTTGACTGAGTGCATCGGCACTC